AAATTATCTTTCTGTATAAAAATACTGGGCAAAGAGAGTCAAGGGACAATTTAATGGAAAGTTTAGTAAGAAAATGGACTTCAAATGTAGTGAGAATAGTAGTATTAGTAGTGATCAAAATAATAATATACTATTAAACCCATCTGGGTTGCAACTGGCTGCCGTTTCACCCCACCAGGACATCACACGGAGCGATAAACACCAGGTGACACAAAGTGCCACGATTCGGATGAGGATCACCCGGGGACTGGTCCCAGAAACCCCGTTCAACCCCTAGGTTGGGTTATATTAGGACCACCGGCAGCAACCAGGGTAGGGCTTTAAAATAACGAGCTGTATATTATCTGGGTTGTAACACACACACACACACACACACACACACACACACATATATATATATATATATATATATATATATATATATATATATATGGTTTTGTTATCCCATTTCAGTGTTGAAGAGTTATGCTTTTCAGTAACGTTTGATTATTTAATATTGCACTGATTATGTTTTAACGGTGATTGTTAACTTTAATATAACCTAAATGTGTTTTCTGAGTAAATACGATAATTATTCTTCTGTAATCTTTCTTTGAGAATATTTAAAGTAATATAGAAGGAAATTGCGCAGGCCCACAATTGCGACAAAATCAGGCAAACTTGCGGGTCTCCCTCAAATACGAGGTTGTACATCTGCAGGTAAGTCTACCACATGTTACGTCGGTTTCTCACATATTCTTATCTTTGTCGTGTTTTTAAGGGCTATTTTTCAGCATGAAGTGTTTTTCTGCGAATAAATGAGGTTTTCTAAATAATCTGTTTTGCGAAATTAATGATTGTTTGGAAGAAAGTTTGAGAAAAATTGTCGAACCGAACATCACAAGACAATTCCCTTGGAACCACCCACCGTACGTACCCATGTTGACGAGTCTAAAGTACTAAGGTACTTAAAAGTTAGTGAGGTGCAACGTTGTCGTTGAAAATATGTGAAATAGAGAAAGTGATACCAAGTAAATAATTGTATTGCGGTGATCCATAAAAAGAGAATTAACGATTGTGACTTGTGTCTGATTAGATGATTCATTATACATTATAGAAGTATAAAATAAAAGTATAGACTATAGAATAGTAGTACTATACTAACTAATATAGTAAGTCAAATCAAAGTAGTTACTATTACTAGTTAGTAGCACAGTAAACAATGTATCAGCGTATCCGATCCTTACTTTAATCACACTGTTGTGTGTTAGTGTCTCAGTCTGTATGTTAGTGACTTGACTGGGTACCCAGGTGTTTTAAACCTCTGTCTGTAAAATGGAATAATCCAAGAGATCATCATAAAGAAATCTGCAAATTTTTGGCGATAGTTAGTTGAAGGCCTCTGCTTCACGTCACTTGAACTACTTCAGCTACTAGTCAACTAAGCAGAGTGTAAAAGTATAATCAAAAATTAAATAGTAAATTAAATTAGTTATTCTTTCAGTTTCTGATCCCCTTTCCCTAGTGGATCATCATAACTCATGCCATGTCCCTATCCTTTTCCCTGTCTGGGTTCTGGGGCCCCACCACTGAGGGCAAAATAAGAATAGTAATAGACCCACTGCTTCCCTAAACAAGGATGTCGTAGTAGTCACTATTTATGTGCTTTCTTCGAAGTTGGAGTGCATCTGCCTGAGTAACAAGGAACAGCCAACTGCACACAGATAAGCTAGTAAAACAGATGTCTCAGGCCCTGCCCAAAGTCCAAATGAACGAACAACCAGCCTGGAGCTTGCAGCTGTAAAGAAGAAAGGTCTTTTTCTTTCATTTGGCATACAGAACATTTCATGCTCTCCCCGTCTTCTTAAGCTTCATTCTCAGTGTGTGTTTGTGTCTGCCTTTATTTCAGTTTCACTGTGAGTTCCACTGAAAGACATTCACTCTATTTTGGTTATAATTTATAATATTTTCTTCTGTTTTCTGTCAGCTTTTGTCCTTTTCTGTGCGTTTCTTTTCTTGATAACATTCACTGGACTTTATTCTGGGCACACACATATCCATGCATGGATTTTTATCAAGGTATGGGGCATTGCAGGTTGACCCAGCCCAAAATTGGTGCCAGGATGCATTTCCTGGGGAAGTAAAGACTGTCGGCGTAATGCTGACCACACTACCCACTCAGTGACGATTGGTCTGTAAAAATATGGGCGCTCTTCCCTTATGCCCGATGCACCTGAAGGGGTAAAAAGGGATCTTTACTTTTTTACTTTTTACATATATCCGTGTGTCTAATCTGACGGAATTGTGGGTGCAACCTTCAGCTGCAAGAAATGACCATTTCATTTAAAGGGGACAGTTGATTAGTCAACACAGAACAGATGTAAGCAGTCATTTTACGCTTGTGAAGCTTTTTGAGGAGATAAAGCACCTGTGGATCTGTCCACAGTGCTGCAGTGATAATACTCACTAATCACTAGAAGTTGTTTAGCTGTCTCCCAAAGCTTCTCATTATTGACTGTCATAGCATTTAATTCCTTGTGTTAAGCTCAGTCACTATTTATTGAATGATTAGAGTCTGTAAATTAATGTACAATAGAAAAGCAACTCTTATATTTTTAATCAGACAACCTTTTCCAGGTGTGTATCTTCTTCTTTATCTTGAGGTGCCTGGTCTGCAGCAAAAATGGACAGCCTTAACTCTTCAACCAATCCCCACTTGCCCCCCCCCCCCCCCCCCCACTCCTCCCCCATATTTGATATTTCAATGAAGTTGTCATAGTATAGGTTTTATCATTATTTGTTGCCTAGAAATTCAGACTTTCCATTCCCCATGTGGGCTGTAGGGACATATTTTTTGGGGGAAATATAATAGACCTACAGTCACCTAATAAGCATATTGTGTAAAAGTCAAACTATTTAGGGAGGTATCTCCTTCAGAGTCAGAGTGCATCTGCCTAAAAGGTGAGGAACCAACAGTCTTCCTATAAATAAGCCAGATCTGTAAAATTAATGTGCAAGCAAAACTCACTCTCTAAGACAAGACTAACGTGTTAAGACGAGACTAAAGTCTAGAAGTGGATAGACAGCCAGAACTTTCCATAGGAGTTTACAGCCTGTCACCACAAAGAAGAAGAGATAGGCAAGCATGATTCTCCAACCAGTCCTCACTTGTTCTGTCATTTGATATTTTAATGTTTTATCATTTTTGTGTGTGTTGGAATTCAAGCTGTCCATCTTTCTGCATGTTCCCTTGACTCTCTTTGCCCAGAATTTTTATAAAGAAAGGTAATTTCATTATTCCTTCCCCTATGTTGATATGCCCCTGTATGCTTTTGGTATAATGCATCTCATGCATTCATTGGCACATCCAAAGAAAGTCTACATTTCTGGTTCACTTTTATCGCTGATAGTTAATACATTAATTTGTTAGATTAGAATTGTCCTTTTTGTTTCTTTTGACCAATAGCTTTATTGTTAAAACATCTTTAGACTTTTATTAGTTTTCACCAGGTGTAAACCCTGGCTGACTTGAGTTTTGTATACACATTCATTTTACAGATTTGGCTTATTTGTACGCAGATGTGATTATATTTATATACACTGATGGTCAGGGGGTTCAAAGAATGGATAGGGCTTCATTGCGAAACCATGGGGGAGAAGGATGACTGAGGAGTGCTTGGCATAGGACATTCTCACATACAGCATGAGAATAGAGGTTGAGGCGGTTAACTGCCATGTTCTGGTTCGGTGGAGAAAATCTCGGCCACAAGTATTGTCATAGTATCAGATTTGCAAAGCATGCTCAGGATGGTGGAGACAGGTTCTATTAAAGTGGAGTGGGTCGCATCAATCCACAGGTGCTGAGAGTCACTTGTCTTTTCCCGGGCCATTCAGGTTTGTTTGGGAATGAACAGGCAGATAGGGTGGACGGACTGACCCCCACTTGGGGATGACTGCAACTGTACAAGGTAGAGGTGATCTCTCGCCTGTGGGGCGAGGTAAAAAGTAAACTTGAAAATACTGAAAACCCGCACCTTGAGAGAATTTTGCAGCGGTATCTGTGGGTTCTGGGTACCACTAGAGACTCAGGGGAAAAAGCAAAGTGAGTTAACTCAATGACAGTTGGTACCATCAGTATGGAGATTCTTTGCTGGCTGTTAAGGAGGAAGTCAAAGCTAATATGGTATTGTCCTGAATGCTGTGATGTCGAACTTTACTAAGATGAACCAAGGTGACATGCTTGTTAGGGAGGCTGTGGGTCCTGGAACCCACATGGTAAATCTTTAGACTCAGGCATTGGCTACTTCAATATAGAACCTCTCATAATATGAGGAGTTGAAGTAATCACAGGATGATACTAAAAGAGTCAAGTTACACGTTTTCCTAACATTTTTTATAAGCCGACAGTATGTCAGCAATTATTTTGTTCTTTTCTAAACATTCTCAACATTTGTTTAAAAAAAACACCCCAACATCTCCACCACCTCCAGATTTACCATCATTTCATTATTGTCTAGCAGTCACATCCCATACAAAAGAATAAACCACACAAATGACAGGACAACACCAGTAGATAAATGAAAGCAGTCTATCCGGAGAAAGTGGATCCATTCTTGAAACCTATAATGAGCCACCTTATGCACCGTGCTTGTTAACGAGCAGTATTATATTTTTTATTTCCCTTCTTCTAAGTCAGAGTTCATCTGCTCAAGAGGCAAAGAACCAACGATCTGCATACAAATAAGCTAGATCTGGGAACGAATGGGCACATAACACTCTGGAACAAGACAAAAAGTCCATTGAGGAATGAACACACAGAAATTTCCGCCGAACAGTCAGCCGAAGTTTACAGTCAGTGGATGTCAAAAAAGAAGAAGATTCCCTTCTTCTTTAAAAAAAAGGGGAAAGGGGGGGGGGGGGCGGCATTTGAACCCCGTTGGGAAGACCTGATTACTGGGAGTTTATCATTTTAATTTTGTTGAATGTGACATTTGGTTTCCTCTACTTTCAGATATATAAAAATGGCTGAGCATGTTTTGCTTGTGGGTAGTGGAGGGCGAGAGCACGCCTTGGCATGGACGCTCTCAAAGTCTCCCAGTGTGAGCAAAGTGTTTGTGGCTCCAGGGAATGCTGGGACAGCCACTGGAGAGAAAGTTAGCAATATCGGTAATGTAAAAAAAAAAAAAAAAACTGAAAACATTCCTGTCTTGATTTAAGTCATCACCTTATCAGAAACCATTCTTATACTACTAAAAGAAAAAAACAAAACAAACAGATGCATAGCTGCTGAAAGGAACATAGTGTTGTCATAATTTTGACAGTAAAAATGTTTGTAATTCAGTGAGTAGAATTATTCAAATTGCACACAAGAATACTATAGGGTTCTTGTGTTGGTTCTGGGGCCATATCATAGGGAAAACAAGAATAGACTCACTGCCTACCCAAATGCATGTCGTAAGTGTCAACTAATTGGGAACTTTCTTCAAAGTTGGAGTGCATTTGCCTGAAAGGCAAGGAACCAATAGTCTGCACACAAATGAGTCAGATCTGTCAAACAGATGCACACGCAACACTCAGGTTCTGAAACAGGACTGCAGTCCAGAAGTGGATGAAAAACAAACTTTCTGCTGGAGTTTACAGCCGGTGAATGCGAAGATGAAGAAAAAGACTAGGGTTCATCCAATAAATTGAAAATTTTTTTTACATCTGGGTCATTGATAGGCTTTAGGCGTTTCCATCAACCAATAAAAACATGCCATCTGATGTTATTAATTTATTTAAAAAACAGTTTAATCACTAGTTTAGCACCGGTCACCTCACCACATGCTGTTTGACTTCTGAGTTCAACCTTAAAAGGGTGGTTGGTATGTTGTTTTGGGGTTTACAGCTGGTATATGTTCCCTTTGAAAATATTTTTAATGGGACACTTTCCCTGGGTGGTAATACTGTCTGAATAAAGGTCAACATATTTTGTGAAAGACTGTATGACTGATTACCATATGTTGTTTACGCTAGAAGTACCATTGTGTGCATCCCTGCCATTGTAGCTGAGTATATCAGGCCTCCCTTGATTATAATAGTTTTAACCACAAAGACAAAATCATCTCAAAAAATCTTGCTCCAGTGATCAAAGCAGAAACCAGAAAAAACCAGCAGTGTGCTTACAGTGAGTCCGTTTTGGAAACGGATGTACATGAAACACTCAAGTCCTTGAACGGTACTAAAGTCCAGATATGAACAAACAACTAGGATTTTCTGCAGGACTACACAGCCAGTGAATGTAGAAATATTATGCCCATATTTCCTCCTATTACTTATTTCTGGTTCCCTTTTGACCGTGGCTTTTTACAAACTCCCTCGTCAGTAAACTTCTAATCAGATTGTTTTGTATAAAGACTGGTCAGAGCATTCTATTGTATTTGTGCCCGCCTTTACCATTCTCTCGACTGAACTTTTTAGTCACAGTTTATTTAGTACCTTTTTTTATGTTCATTGCTGTTTTTAGTGGTTAAGTACATGGTTATACAATGCATAAAATATTTGCCCTCTGTGCGTTTTGTCTGCTTTCTGTGGCAGTAAGCCAGGGATGGTGAAACAGATGGATTAGCTCAGTGGTTCTCAACCTTCCTAATGCTGCGACCCTTTAATACGGTTCCTCATGGTGTGGTGACCCCCAATCATAACGTTATTGTTGATGTTACTTTATAACCAGTGATTATGTTTTCTGATGGTCTTAGCGACCTTTGTGAAAAGGTCGTCGACCCACAAAAGGGGCACGACCCACAGGTTGAGAACTGCTGGTTTAGATGAATCATAGCCAATGGTTTTATGGGACACACCTTTGCTAGGTGATAGATGGATGATGATACTGTCTAACAAGGACTGCAGATTTTGTGACAGACTTGTCACCATATGTTGTTTACGTTAGAAATACCATTATGTGCATCTCTGCCATTGTAATATGTTTTTACATTACTTTGTGTGTTGCTAAATGAGAAACTCCTTTGGGGGGGGGGGGGGGGGGGGGGGGGGGTGTCTATGTGCCCACCTGTGCTATCTTCTTTAGTTGATTATGAAAATTTGCCTCCATTCTGTTTTGTATACATATCTTTTTCTGTATTTTTACATACTTTAAATTTTGCTACATAAGATACTTCCTGCTTTTCTCTTGTGTGAGTATTGTAGCGTGTGTAGTTAATTATGAAAAGTCTGTATGCATTCTGATTTACATACAGCATTTTCTTTCGTACTCCTCTCTCTCTTTCTCTCTCTCTCCCTCCCTCCCTCCTTCAGGTACCAGGTCTAGAATCGATAGGACTTCATTTTGGCCCCTCTGCCACTAAGTCTAAAGAAAAATGTAAAAACACTATATCTGCGCTGGTATACCCACATATTGAAGTACCTTGTGTGCTCGGTACACCCTTGAACAAAGCAAAAATACCTTGTTTCATTATTACCCCGAGACAACCTTGCAAAAAACTAAGGAAAATGACCTTGAAAAAGCCTTGAAATTGATTGGTAAATTTGGCTATGAACCCTGCTCTATATGTTTCAGTCTGTCTGTGTGTATATACTTTATATATTGCTACATGCAATCCTTTTTTATTTGACTCCAGTGGAAAGTCCTGGTTGTCATCCACGTCTGGACTTTGGTCTTCTTCTAGGACTTGAGTATACCAGTCAGTGTTTCATGGATGGTTGTGCTGCTCACATGAAAGAAATCTTTAGAGAACACTGAATAAATCTTCAGAGCACACTTAAATAAATCTTCAGATCATTCCAATGAAATCTTCAGAGCACACTTAAATAAATCTTCAGATCATTCCAATGAAATCTTCAGAGCACACTTGAATAAATCTTCAGAACATTCCAATGAAATCTTCAGAGCACACTTGAGTAAAGCTTCAGAGTTCACAAATGAAATCTTCAGAGCACACTTAAATAAATCTTCAGATTGTTCCAAAGAAATCTCCAGAATATGCTAAATAAATCTGAAATGTTTCTCAAACGAGACATATATATATTATATTTGTCCCTGTGAACATAATGAACTTGAAAGTTTGATGTTGTCATCATAACCTCTTGGTATATTTGGTCTAGGATTGAAAAATTTAGATTGTAAAAATTATGTTTTTGGTTGTATAACATATCTGCTTGTAAATAAATTGTCCTGAGGTGATTTTTCTAATCCTTGTTTGTGTTTCTCACAGCACTGCATTTAAAAGACTTCAAAAGTGTGACTCAGTGGTGTAAAGAAAATGGAGTCACATTTGTGGTGGTGGGGCCTGAAGATCCTCTGGCAGATGGTATTGTGGATTACTTCTCTCAGAATTCAGGTAAGGGCAGTTCTTCGCAAGATCAGGCCAGTTCATTACAAGATCAGGCCATTTGATTGATTAGAAAAGATTAAGAAAAGTACCTGTTTAAAGTTCACTACAGTTCTTGTGCAGCTGCTGGCACTGGGCTCAAATGCAGAAGACAGCTTCAAATTCTTGGTAAGGTGATGGAAGTTCTTTTCTGTCAGGAGTTGAGATAAAGCATCCTAACCTGCAGTTAGTAGCAACTGCTTAAGTTATCTGACCCTGAATCCTCAGATTCAACATCCCTTTGTCATACACCGACCAAAAACGTGGTACTATAGGCAGTAAAACACTTGATAAATGAATGAATGAAAGACAGTTAATAAAGTAGTTAGTAAAGTCCTTTAATAATCATCATCGTGTGCTTTGCCGGATCGCACAAACCTTCATCCCTCTCCACAGATCTTGGTACTCGGTATTTAGATAATCCTCTGTCTTTCCATCTTAGACCATCTAGCTGCATTTCTCTTGGTCTGTATGTGACTCTTCTACCACTGATTTTCCAAACTTTTCTTTCTTATAACCAGTTGAAAAAAAAAGAATGCTGTACCTGTTTCTTACACTATTTTTTCCCCCTTAAATAATGGAACATCTTTCAAAATTTTGTATGTAGATGTTATTTTTTTTTATATATGAAGAAATATCTTCCCATGTGTAGGTCATATAGTCTTTGTACCATGAAATATCTTTATATATATATATATGAGGTCAATGTTTCTTTGTATCATGGGTTCTCTTTACTGTTGTGTTGTGTCTAGATTATATATTTTTTTGTATTCTGAACTATCTTCCAGTGTGTACGAAACCCTTTTTTTTTAAAATTTTTACAAAATTACCAAATCTTTTTTTATATTATGTCTGTAGATGCTGTGTGTTATAGAATTAGCATGAGAAGGTTCTGAACCACATGAATTTCCAGGGTGAGAACTTATACTGGTCAGTACCTCTACAACATCTTAGAAACATGGCTCCCTACTAGGAACCTGGCAAATATAGATAGGATTAAAGTTTCTGTTGAAGTTGGGTGACATATACCAGAGAGGAAAAAAGCCAGCAGTGTGCTTACAATGAGTCAGTTCAGGAAACGGATGTGCATGAAACACTCGAGTCCTTGAACGGTACTAAAGTCCAGATATGAACGAACAACAAGGATTTTCTGTGGTACTTCACAGCCAGTGAATGCAGAAGTATTATGGAATCTCTGTCACTCTTTATTTTTGTAGTGTCATGGAAATAGTTTTATGTATGTCATGTAGGTATTGCTGCTGTATTACTGCTGTGGTATTTTGTCACCATCCTTATGCAGCAGGTTCTTTACAGAATGCCACTTTCCTGCCTTATGCAACCTCCTACCTGGTACGCCACTTATATCCTGTCACCATCTTTGTGCTAGTCAGCCCCTGCCTTTATTTCCTGGCACCATGCCTTCTGCTACTGTTCCTTCCAGTCTTTGTGGCACTTTATGTGATCAAAAGTTTCTGAGACAAGATGCTGTTTACTAGCTAATTTTCCTTAATGTTCAGATCAATTAGGATATCAGTATTTCATTTCCTTATGCCCTGTGGTATTGTGAGAGTCTGTAACATTTTAGTTCAAAAGTCCCCATTTCCTTGACTATGTATGTTGATGTGGTGATATAAATACTGCAGTCTCATGGAACTTTATTTAAACAGACATCCCTGTGTTTGGCCCAACTGCGGCGGCAGCTCAGATTGAAGCTGACAAATCGTTTGCCAAACATTTTTTGGTCAAACATGACATTCCAACAGCCAGGTTCCAGAGTTTCAGAGACGCTGACGAAGCCTGCAATTATATCATGAGGTAATTCAGGTCAACTAAATTACTTGGTATCTGTATCACCATCCTAGCACATCAGTCTGACCAATTCATGCTTCATCCTCTGATGCAGCAGCCATCTCAGTGTCTCCATGCTCAATACACCTAGCAGGATTTGATTGTCATATCTTCTTTATTTGTCTTGCAACTGATGTCAGCATGCCTATACCCATTTTCAACAGACTGTTCATCATCACTGACTGACACTCAAATACAGGTTTACAAATTCCAAGTCATCATCAAAGGTTGTGGTGGCTGGTGTGGGCGATCATTCCTCTTCACAATCTGTGATCCTGAACAGCAAGTGTTAGTTCGTGTGCTGACACCCCTCCATGTCATGACAAAAGACTGTTGAGAATCATCGTTTTGTTGTCTTCCTCTGTGTCTCCTTCCACCGATCTTACCAGTGGTCACATGTTTCAGTTTCCTTCTTCTCATAGCATGACCACCAAATCACAACCGTCTCTTTTTGGTGTCTGTAATAATTGTCTCTGAGTCCTTGCTTATTTAAAAACATCTGGGTTGTTCTTATTGTCAGTCCAAGGAGCTCTAAGGATTCTTCTGGAAAACCACATCAAAATACACTCCATCTTTTTTGAAAAATATATTTTGAATTTCCACTAGAGCTTACGTCTGGTAAACAAATTAGAAGAAGAAGAAGAAGAGTTTGCACCAAGTTTATGAACAGTTACAGCAGTAGATAGATTCAAATCAATCTACTAAAACCTAGAACTGAACTGTTGAGTTGTTTCAATAGTGGTGTCAGCACTGCAGCAATTGGTGACACTGGAGTGTACATTTCAACCTTTCTGTCTCACAGTAGGATATTTGGTAGTGGGACATCTGAGAAACTTCGCTGTTATGCTGTAGGACACTTCACAGATGGACAGTTGAGCCTAAGCAGCAGTTAGGTAGGACTTTCAGTTAACAGAATTGTGAATCAAGGTTTTATCTTGATGTAGGATATTTGGCCAGGGGACTCCACACACGTTCCAAATGAGTTTTCAGTGGACATTATCACCGCTGCATTTTGGGTGGACTGATGAGAGTCAGAGGATTTCTGGACACTGCATCTCTGGGAAACACCAATTCCAAATCCGCTGCTGGCTTGGTTTAGGCAGCCGCAGGCCATTATTCGGGGTGCATGGCGTGGACATGTAGCAGGAATCTTGAATTAAAAACCAGAACAGAGTATACTAGCATCTGAGGTCAGTTACCAAAATCACCACACCACCGTGTGAGATCTGATCCACTGAAGCTTAGGGATGTGATCCGCTGCTTAGAGTCTTGGAATGTGATCCGTTGCCTAGAGTTTAGGGATGTGATCTGCTGTCTGGATGGTTGGGGATGTGATCCGCTACCTAGAGTTTGAGGATGTGATTCTCTGCCTAGAAGATTAGGGATGTGATCTGTTGCTTAGAGTTTAGGGATGTGATCTGCAATCTAGATGTTTGGGGATGTGATCTACTGCCTAGAGTTTAAGGATGTGATCCTCTGCCTAGAAGCTTGGGGATGTGATCCACTGCCTAGATTTTTGCAATTGTGATTCTCTGCCTAGAAGGTTGGGGATGTGATCTGCAGCTTTTTTCAAAAGTTTTTCCATTTCTGAAATTAAAAATTTGAACCTTTTTTTTGAACAGTGCAGACTTTGAAGCTCTGGTGGTGAAAGCAAGTGGACTTGCAGCAGGGAAGGGTGTTGTAGTGGCATCTACCAAACAGCAGGCTTGTGAAGCTGTGAAAGAAATGATGACGGCCAAAGTATTTGGGTCAGCAGGGGAGGTTGTGGTTGTTGAGGAGCTGTTGAAAGGCCCTGAAGTCTCTGTAAGTATTTATATTTCATATTAATCATGTCCTTTTTATTCTCAGCTTTGCAATTGTTTGAATTATTTGTCTGTTGATACATATATATTTTTTGATATCTGAGTTTAAAAAAAAATTGAATTGGCCTTTTTTTTTTTTTTAAAGATGTTTTTATATTTGCCTTTGACCTTTTTTTTTTTTTAATTAGCTGCTGGCATTTACTGATGGGGAAACAGTGGCTTTGATGCCTCCGGCACAGGATCACAAGCGGCTGCTGGATAATGATGAAGGACCAAACACAGGAGGCATGGGAGCCGTGTGTCCTTATCCATGGGTAAATATTTAATGATTTTTCTGTGAATTTGGAAAGTTAAAAAAAAACCTATATATATTGCAGGGCTCCAACTTGGGAAACAAGAATAGAGCCACTGCCCCCCCCCCCCCCCCCACTGCCTCCTAAACAAGAATAGACCCACTGCCTCCCTAAACAAGAATGCCTCCCTAAACAAGAATAGACCCACTGCCTCCCTAAAGAAGAATAGACCCACTGCCTCCCTAAACAAGAATAGACCCACTGCCTCCCTAACAAGCATGTCAAAGGAGGCAATTAATTAAGAATGTTTCCTTTAAAGTCAAGAGTGCATCAGCTTTAGAGGCAAGGAACCAACAGTCTGCATGCAAATAAGCCAAATCTGTAAAATGGATGTGCACGCAACACTCAAGTTCTGGACGAAAGACCAAAGTCCAGAAGTGGGTGAACAGTCAGAACTTTCCACTGATGTTTACAGCTGGTGAACTTGAAGAAGAAGAAGGAGTAAGAAGAAATAAACAAAACAAAGAGAAGCACATTAAAAAGTTTCATGTTTTCTTAAGAATGTTGCAAACCAACCCTATCATGTACTGGTTGTTTGTGGTTTGACCAGCCATTTTTATATTCAGTAGTTTACCATAACACTCTGAACAGCACCTCACTCACATGTTATCAAAATCTGCACAAAACATTCTGCTTCCAAATTCCTTGTTTTTTTTTTATAACCCTGTTGAGATCCTGAATCTGTGCTTGCCACTCCTAAGCCTTAGACTACACACTGCAGAACAAAAGGGAGCTTTTTTCTGTGTGAAGACAATTTGTTTTGATTTCACATTTCTGCTTCTCCAGCCTCTCCCTCAAACAGTGTGTGTCAGACCCTTGTAGACGTGTTAATGATCTGTTCTGTGTGATGGGATAGACAATATTCCGCCAAAATTTGTTACTAGTTTCTTATGACATGCATGGTAGGTTTCAGTGATATTCTTTGCTTTACTTTTAAGCCAAGGTAACATACAGGTGTATCAGACGTCTTATCTCCATTATAAAGTTGTCAGATATGTAACAGGTTTTTCCACTATGTTTCATATTTATTTTGTTTACTTTTTCATCTCCGGGATTGCAGCCTAAAAGATTGATAAAGGGTTGGTTCCTGTGTGGGTGGGTCTGGGGTCCCATTTGAGGAAAGAAAAGACCCTGTGCCTCAATATGCCATTTTTATAACAATATCTGATGTACTTTCTTCCAGCTTTCAGAGGCGGAACTAGAGAAAATTAAAACAGATGTCCTGGAAAAAACTGTGAAGGGACTGGCAGCGGAAGGAAAGAAATATGTTGGTTAGTTTGTTTTTAACCTTTTGACAACTGCGACCGAGAAAAAAAGCCAGAAACCCACATTTCAGGACTTTACGAAATCCTTGAAAGAAAAAAAAAAACATTACTATTTAACACAAGTCAGCAAAAAAAAAAATCCTTACATTCTTTTTATGAACCCAGTAAATATTAATTCTATACAGAAAAAGAGGAGTAATCAAACAAAAATATGGCAAATCAGAATCCACGTGGTTACACCTCTTTGAGACCAAATAAAATGTATATCACTACTCATCCATGACTCTTTGACCATGTCCTTGGATTACCACTATGACTAATGGGAGGGGGAGAGTGGGGGAAAAAAAATTGATTTTAAAAATTGTGATTTGACCAGGACGTCATATTATCTCCTTATTGCATCACATTTCTGTTTGTGGCGCAAAGCAACCAAAACCACTTCTAAACGGTCAAAGGGAAGAAAATCAGTTAATTCTTTGCTCCGTTTGTATTTAACGATCACTTCACATAGATGTAAACCTTTTCCCAATTCTTCTTTTGCGTTCACCTGAAGATGTAATTGCGTTGTGTCTGTTTACGGCATGGCTTTCCCCTAATTATTAAGTATATTTAGTGAGCTGAATTTTTTAAAATATGTATTAAGTGACTCTACATTCTCATAGAAGCAGAGTACTTCATGCCTGCCTATCTGCTCGGCAGCCTAGAGGTTTGACCCTCTGGATATTTATTAAAACTAACCAAGGCTCCAAATTTTCTTCCGCTCCTTCTTCTCTTCTAGTTTCTTAGGGTAGAGTTTTAGAGAATTATAAGAATGTTTTTAAAAAAAAATACTGAAATTTGAGAGGTCAAAAAAAAAAAAATACCTGCCAATAAACTGTATTACTATACTGCTGATTCATCTATACAGTGGGTTAACATTTTTACCAAAAAAAAAAAAAGGTCTTTTACACAAATTTAAAATGGGTTTGCCATGATCACATGTAATATGCCAGTGAGAAACATGCTTGTGCGCTTACTGTGATAGACAAAACAATTTGTAGATGTGTCCAAATGCAAGAACTAGCTGCTTACCAAATAATCCAGTGTCATTGTTTCCATAAGCTTGTGATGGACAATTCTTGGATGATATCATCTCATTTGGTGTCTTCTTGAACTTTGCCTTGTTGATAACATTGTCAGGTTCTTCTTCTTTTGGCTGAAGAAGAAGGTATTCTCTAAGCTTGTAATGAACAAAATGTGGATGACGATTGGTAATAAAAGTGTTGCCCATTATTCTTGTCAGGTGTATTATATGCTGGGCTTATGCTGACAAAAGATGGACCAAAAGTTCTGGAGTTTAACTGTCGATTTGGCGATCCAGAAACTCAGGTAAAAATTACTGTTGTTCATATTGACTGTATCCAGTAAGTTTTGATTGATAATTTTTCACACACACACACACACCCCCACCCCCAATTCTTCAGTACTGTATTGCTGTACAGAGCTGAACAAATGATAATTTTTCGCCTGCACTTTAGACATTGCAGACTCTGCAAACACATAAAATAGGTATGATTCAAACAGTTCCCTGTTAGTGTCTTTGTACTGAACAGATCCCAGAACACATCCTTCAAGACTGTCCTCTTCTGATGGAGCTGCAAAGCAACTTCGGGCCGCACCCTGTAGACTTGACAATGAAGCTTTGGGGAACCTAAGTGACTTCTAGCTGACATCCCAGCTTATGGACCACATTGGATTAAGTGCATGATCAGAGACTGCTAATGTTGAATATTAATATATATAATTTGTACTGACCACATCCACTGGATATTGCAGTTTTTTGGGCTTGGTTGTGAAACTTACTTACCGCTGTGGAAAATCAGAAACTGACTGGGTGAAATTGAACTGTTGTTGAGTGTTTATACTGCAGCACACACTGATGTAACCAGGCACATGTGCAGTCATACACATGTCCACACATTACAAACAGTTTTGTTTGCATGTGGGAGGGGGCAGCTGACAAGATGTCATATTTCTTTACAGTCACAAGCATATGGAGACGAATGTGGAATTTACCATACTTAAGCTGTATGCGTAAACTTGAGTGATGTAAAGAAATGAAGAAGGGGTTATGTGAGAGGCTATATGTGTATATGTACTTTCTAAGTTCCTTGTCTGCAGCACACAGAGTTTTTATGACTCGCCAGTCTGACTCCATTAGGAGAAATGTTGGTCATCTTTGGTTTAACATCCCTGCAGGCAGGTTGCCTCATAAGTACTCTCTACCAGTGGAAATCGCACAAAATGTCCGTCACTGTTCCACTTGAAAACTAGTGAAAAACTTTTTAGTCCTAGTACAAAATAAGCCTCTGCCCCAAGTTGTGAAATGTCAGAAAATATGACTCAGGTTTTGTTGCTGAAATTGGAATTGTTGGGCCAGAAGGCACAGATTTTGCAGTCTAGCTGTCAGTCAGAAGACAACACAATCACTCTTTTAAAGGCAGTTGCAGAAGAATAAGAAGCATTTTTTTTATATCATTGTTCATAGTTTCTTTCTTTGTGTTCCTTTGTTTAGTTTCTTCATGTTCATTTATTTCTTCTGTAGTTAGTTAGTTTGTTGACAGATTATCCTCTTTGCACATCGAACTGTTCAGTCCATAAGTGCTTAGATCCTTTCCTTAGTAAATCCCACAGCATGCAGCAGCTCACGACTCCAGTTCTGTGTTGGTTTCTTATTCTTTTTTGGCTTCCTGTATAGTGCTCATCTGGCCACAACCCTTTTAACATGTTGTTCTTGCAGTCTTGTCATTATTGCAGATTCAGTCATCACTTAGTTCTTGCATACATCTTACTTCTCTTAGAGCATTCAGAATATCAGCATGGTCCGATGCTCATCCACCCTCCACAGTAGCTTTACCTGCAAGCTATCTTCTATCTGTATCCTTTTCTTGTTGCTGTTGATGCACAGGACATTCACAAGGGATTTCCTTTGCTAACAGTCAGCTGCTTTTCTGCTTGTGGTCTCCCATATCATTTTACTCTTCTTCATTTCCACTTTCTACTCTCCTTTTTCAGGTTTCTTTGGAATGTCTACGTCTTTATCCATCTGCCATTCACCAGCAAGCTTCTTATTCTTCTATTTCTACTTCTTCCTTTACCGCTTTGAGTTGCAAGGGAGACAAAGGTTCTGCCTCTTGCTCTTCAGGTCGCGTTGGCCATAGAAACATTGTGCTGTTGTAGATTTTCTCTGATATCTTTTCATCTTGTTCTTGATTATTTCATGCTGTACGTTCTTCTCCTCTTTTGGTGTATGCCTTGTATGATATAAAGGCATGCTGTTAAAGTGGGCAAACCATTAGCTTTGCTGTCTTTGTATGTTAATTTAGAATTGTTCAGTGCCACTGAGCTATCCTTGCCAAAGTGTTCATTTGTTTATTTTCTTAAGTTGTATGTGAAAGCCTTCATTCTTGAATACTGAGCTTCTAGACTTAGATTTATGCTGTTGTTTCAGTCCATCCTGTCACTGCTCAAGTCTGACTTGTTGACAACCCTGAAAGCTTGTGTAAGTGGAACACTTCAGCAGGCTACACCCATTTTTGACACGTCACTGACAGCTGCAGGCGTGGTGGTGGTTAGTGGTGGATACCCTGGATCTTACCGGAAAGGGCTGAAGATTTCAGGTTTGTACACAAAACTGTAGTAAAATTATATGATGCTAGACTTATGTTTTAATAGACCACTCTGTACCCAATGAGTGATGAGTCAGCAACTTTCTAGTTCTTTTTACTTGCCGGGACATTTCCTGGTGGTGCCCAGTTTAGATTTTTTACTTTTTTTTTTCTAGTCGAGAGGAAATCCCGCTGAATGGAAAAAAATGTTGTCGGCTTCTAAAAGACTACTCACTGAGAGAGAGAGAGAGAAAGAAAGGGCATAAATGGACTCGGTGAAATGTGCGGATAAAACCTCTCATGGTTCAAGGGAAAAAAGGGTGATTACCAGCCTGCTGTATGGAGAGCTTTGAGCATAGCAGTAATGAGAGCTTTGGTCGTGCACTGTACCTAGGTTAATTTCTAGACATCTTGACATGGGGCTGCCACTGCATCAAGGTGGGCATAGACAAGAGAGGGATCGATCGATCAGTTTGTCCCATCTGGGCTGCTATCTAAAGGTTTACTATACCATCTTGGCATTTAAAAGTCAACAGTCTTGGCGGCTGCCGCTAACCCCAAATGAATATTCACTCGTGAGGAACCGGGTAACCAAGAAAACAGAACATAAAGGACCCATATAGTAAAGAGCATGTAATAAGAGTCCACTAATTAGGAATTTCCTTAAATTGGAGTACATCTGTCCGAGTGGCAAGGCACAATCAGCTGCACATAGACAAGCCAGTAATTTGGATGTACATGCAAAATTCAGGCCCTAGCACAAATGGACGAACAACCAGGACTATCCGCTGTAGCTTACAGCTGGCGAACAAAGAAGAAGAATTAAACAGCCAGCAAAGTGGTTTTGTTCTGGTCAGCCTAGCTTTAGGTTATAGTCAGAAGCATATTTTACTCTACAACTCAAAATACATATAAAATTATGGATGTAGAAACAACACGTTCTGAAGTCTAGATCCATGTCGCCACAATAGCACACTAACAGAGCAGATCCCAGAGACCCCGTCAACCTCCAAAGAAGTTATAATTAGGACACCAGGCGCTGTAACCTGTAGTCCTATGTGGGTAAGGACCTGAAAGAGTGTGAAGTTCATGCATTGCACTCTTTTTCACTGGACCCTTGCAGTTCCAGGGAGTTTAGCATCAGAGGCCCAAGGGGTAGAAAAGAGATGTAAAATCTGTGCATCTTGCCTCCATTGGGCTTCTAGGTAGGAACCTATGAATGTTTAATGTGCTCCTTGGGACTGGAAAGATAAATCCGTGTTATTAAGCAAGTCATTTCATCCAGTTATCCAATTCAGTAATCAGTTAACGGCTCTGAAATGCTATCTTTCATCCATTTCTTCTTTCTCAACAGGAATCTCAGAAGTTGAAAAAAGTGGTCTCAAGGTGTTCCATGCAGGCACTACTTTAGATGCTGAAGGAAATGCAGTTACCAGCGGTGGTCGAGTTCTGGCGGTGGTTGCAGTAGAACCGAATTTGAAAGCAGCAGTCCACAAGGCAACCGAGGGGGCGGGATTAATCCAGTTTGACGGGGCTTTTCACAGGAAGGATATTGGGGCCAAGTTTTTAAAAAGGTGATCAGAATGGAAATATCAGTGGTAAAGTTGGTGTGATGTCTTGTTGATTAACTGTTGCTGTTAGCTCTATAGAGTAACAAGCTCTAGTGATTAATTGTTGGGATAAGCTTTGGTGATTAGCTGTTGGGATAAGTTCTAGATATTAACTGTTGGGATAAGTTCTAAATATTAACTATCAGGATGAGCTTTAGTGATTAGCTGTTGGGATAAGTTCTAGATATTAACTGTCAGGATAAGCTTTAGTGATTAGCTGTTGGGATAAGTTCTAGATATTAACTGTCAGGATAAGCTTTAGTGATTAGCTGTTGGGATAAGTTCTAGATATTAACTGTCAGGATAAGCTTTAGTGATTAGCTGTTGGGATAAGTTCTAGATATTAACTGTCAGGATAAGCTTTAGTGATTAGCTGTTGGGATAAGTTCTAGATATTAACTGTTGGGATAAGCTTTAGTGATTAGCTGTTGGGATAAGTTCTAGATATTAACTGTTGGGATAAGCTTTAGTGATTAGCTGTTGGGATAAGCTTTAGTGATTAGCTGTTGGGATAAGTTCTAGATATTAACTGTTGGGATAAGTTCTAGATATTAACTGTCAGGATAAGCTCAACAGATAAACTGTCGGAACTTAGCTTTGGTGAAATAAATGGAGACACTTTTCAGTAGGTTGAAAAAGAAAGTAACAGTAAAGAACCCAGTTTTCACCATCGGCGCATCTGGCGTATGGCTGCTAGGTGATTCTTTCCCCCCTTCCTCCCCGCGCACTCAGGGTCTCTAGAACCTACACAGGGAATTTTGTTTTCACTTGATGAGAGCGGTATTTTTGACATCAATGTTAATAGTCATGTCTGTACTTAAGTCATAGAAAAAATTTCAATAAAGTTGTTGGGAAAAACTGAGATATGGTTAATCTTTTCAAATGTGCTTTTTCAAAAAAAATATTTTGGTTTATTTTCTTGACATACTGTACTAAGTTTGATTAATTTCATTTCCCTCTTTTGTTTGTAGCAGTTTATGGGAATTTCAAATTGTTAACAGTTCAAAAATGAATTTTTTTTTCTGTTTCATACTGTAAAAAAATGTATGGTTATATGATGACTTTTTACTGTTAAAAAACAAAAAAAAACACATAGCTACTGAAAGGAAGATAATTTTGACATTAAAAATCTGAGTAATTTGATGAGCAAAACTGTTGAAATTGCACACAAGAATACCCTAGTGTTCAACTAATCATAATTTTTTTTGCATCTTGGTTATTTGATAGCTTTTTGGTGTAAAGAATTTCCGTCAACTAATAAAAGTGTATCGTGACAAGAGCTATGTTTTGGGGGGGGGGGGGGGGGGGGGGGGCTGCCTGGGCAGGAAAGCGCAGTTGGATATAACTGTACATTTTTTAAAACAGTGTATTTTAAACAGTTTAATAAGTTTTACTTTCCATTAAAAAAAAATATGTAGTGTCGAAAACACCTGTATGATTATAAAGGGTTTGATATGTTGACCTTGTTAGTACATGCTTCTCCTCTCCCTCTCCACTAGATTATGAGAAAAGAACATTTGTTAACTGGAAAGATTTATGGAAAGAGGTGATAGAGGAGGTCGTCTTTTCATTCTGATTGCCAGTGGTTATTTTAGAGGAGGAGGAGGCCAATAAACATTTATGAGGCTGTGGTGCGATGCATCTCCTCGCTGATGTATACAGGTTGGTGCCCACCGGGATGCTGACCAGGTCATACCTGTGGACCCTCTATTGCACGTAGAGAGCATGTATGCAGTATGTTTAGTTTTCAAGGGTGCAATTTTTCAGCGCCTATCTTGAACTTTCTGAACATATTGCTGCAGATTCTGTTTGTGTCCAGTTCACAGTTGTCTCTTTCCTTTGTGTGAGGAGGTTGACTAGACTTCCAGACTGTGTTCTTTATAGGTGAAATTCTCGAGTTACGCCCCTTGGCATTCCCAGGCTTTTTATTCTTCGGCCACATATGTCTTTTTATTCCACTGGCAGGTCATCAACATGGCTGCATCATTATACGTCAGTTAAGTGATTTTGTATATTCCTGTGGTTTTGTTAGATTTATGTATGTGTTGATGAAGGCTTTGTAGCAGCAACGTTCACTTTTCGTTTATGTTTGTTATATTGTGAAGCTGGCTGATCTACTTTAAGTTCGGTTTTAGATCTTCCTATGTGTTCTGAGTAGGAAGTGTTCCAGTGTGTTCTAATGACAGTGATAGACAATTGCTGGCAGTTTTTTTAAATAGTGGCATGGACAAACATATATCTACATTTTGTTACCTTTAGCACTTCAAAGCCACCCACTGCATTTTAAATTTCAAGAGAGAACAAAAAAACCAGACTGAATTGTCAGAGCCCCAACCACCTTGCTAGAGAACTGTACAGACAGCACCAAGATCTGCTTGAAAGAGATCTTGCACTGTGCAAAAAACAGGCCAGAACCATGGACAAGCAAGCCAGAAAAAGCAAATGTAGGTACCAGGGATCACTTCAAAAGATGCCCAGACGGAGACACAACAGAGAACCCTGGCTCTTGCTATGCTTGATGAGAAGTATCCAAACACCACTTGGACTCAGGTTTTCACCGACGGCTCCACTACAGATGCAGTCAGAAAGGAGGTTGTGGAATATACATTAAACCCCCTAGCAGTAGAGCAGAAACTCTCTCTTTACCAGCAGGTGACATCTGCACTAACTTCAGAGCTGAGGCAACTGCCCTTCTTTCTGCAGTCCAACATCTCATCACTCAAGAACACAGAGGGCACCAAATTGTTATACTTAGTGACTCATTGTCTGTTCTCCAACGCACTATCCAGCAAAAAACAAGACAAACTGATTGCAGATCTAAGGACCAACATTGACTTACTCTCCAAGGAAGCAGAACCGGTCTTGCAGTGGATACCAGCCCACTGTGGTATTCAAGGAAATGAGAGAGCAGATGAGTTGGCAAAAGCTGGGAGTAATCTTCCACAACCTCATCCACCACACAGCTACAAGGAAACCAAAACAGCGCTAAAGCAGTCTTTCAAGCGGGAGGGGAGAAGGCAGAATGGAGATTACAGACCAGAGAGTGACAGCATAAACAAACTCAACAGGAAAGAACAAACATCAATTTTTTAGACTTCGGACTGGACAATGTGGTCTTTGAGCACACTTGTACTGGATAGGCATAAAAGAATCTGCTGCCTGTGATTGTGGAGCAGAAAGACAGACCCCTGGGCACATACTACAGTACTGCCCTTACCTTTCCCAGCAAAGACTGGATCTGGCCCAAGGGAGCCACATTGCAAGAGAAGCTATAGGGGACTGGTGGCGACCTTAAACGCACAATCCTATTTGTGATCCAGACGGGACTCAAAATGTTTAGCATGACTGATGTCGAACACAGAAGAAGAAGTTACCTTTAGCAAGAGGCAAAAGATTCTCACCAGTAAGAAGTCAGCTGCAAAAAGGAAAAAAAATTTTCAAAGGGCTATTTAGAACTTGTCTTGTTATATGCACCTGAAACATGGACAATAAGCAAACAAGCTGAAATACATTGACTCACGGCATAGATGTGGTTTTTGAGAATAATGCAAAGAATATCATGGAATGATAGCAATCAAACGAAGCAGTCCTCATTGAAACAGCTGAAAGTCCTAAACTTATTAAACAAAGTGAAGTAGACCGTCGTATGTTTTGGACATGCTATGAGAAGGAATGGACTCAAGAAGAACTTGATAACATATGGCAAGATTGATGGAAAGAGAAGAAGAGGAAGGCAAACAAATAAATGTCTGGATGACCTGCCGGAATGGATGGGGAGAGACAAAAACATTGAACTGGTCCATTATTCTGGTGATCGTATGAGATGGCGAAACAAGGCAGCCTACGCTTACCGACGTGGCACATGATGATGTTGGATATGAGATGTAGAGGAGTATCACCAGTCATGTCAGTTGATGACAACACTGGGGATGTGGAGCCATAACCACAGGTAGTCTTTACATGGCATTCTCTGTAGCAGTTACCTTCACTCTGGCATGATTTCTCGGTGACTGAATGAGTATACTGAGGAATATAAAGTTGGACTACAGGGCATAGGTGTAAAGGGATATGAACAAGCTGATAGGCTTACAGGTTACACTAATGGGGGTTGAGCACTGGACAAGGCTGATACATTGAATTCTGTATGAGAAATAAGACTTGCGAGAATCAAGTTATGACAGAAGCTGCAAACCATGGTCAGGCAGATGAAAAGGGATTAGGCCAGATAAGAGCACAATCAGAAAGTCGAAGAAGCGTAATGAACTGACACAGAACAAGTGTGATGTGTCGTTGGCTGTTACACGCATGCAGCTGGATTTACTGATGTCAAAAACACTGAATAGTTTGTGTGTGCAATGAAATGATCTGTCATCTACTGACTAAAGTGGAGAAACATCATCAGTCATGCTCTCAGCAAGTCAGTAGTGCTGAATGTGAATAAACACAATCCCAATAAATTTTGAGCACCCTTGAATAAATGAATAAATTAATCAAGAATTGACATCACTGCATTCAGGACATTCCCACACAGGCTCCGTCTCCTTCTTCAGGAGCCAACAAAAAGTCAATTTGCCAATTGTACCAGTTACAACCTGTTTATAAGCACCCCCCCCCCCCCCCACCTTCCTAGTGTTGGTTTAGGGGCCTCATTGTGGGCGGAAACAAAAATAGACCCACTGCCTCCCTGACATGCATGTCATAGGAGTCGACTAATTGGAGACTTCCTTCGAAGTCAGAGTGCATCTGCCTGAGTGTCAAGCAACAACCAGCTGCACACAAATAAGTCAGTAAAATGGATGTACTCGCAATAGTCAGGCCCTGGCACAAATGGACGAACAACCAGGACCTTCTGCCCGAGCTTACAGCTGGTGAAGAAGGTCCGTCTGTCTAGGTTTCTCCTTCAGTTTTTAATATCTTCTAGTACCTCTGCTCATCCCGTTGAAGTAGTCTTTCACTTCACTATATGGATTCTCTGTCTGTCTGTCCTGTTGCATTGTGCATTTGATCTCAGAGGGCCTTCAACACGTCCTCAAACTAGAAACAATTTAAGATGCTATGTATTTCACAAAATGCAGCTAAGAATGGTTAGCATGTGACTGGCTTCCTCATTCCAAATAAAACAAAACCCTTTCACTGCCCAAGAAGTCTTAAGATGCTATGCATGTCACAAAATGCAACTAAGAATGGTTAGCATGTGACTGGCTTCCTCATTCCAAATAAAACAAAACCCTTTCACAGCCCAAGAAGTCTTAAGATGCTATGCATGTCACAAAAGGCAACTAAGAATGGTTGGCATGTGACTGGCTTCTTTATTCCAAATAAAAGAAAACCCTTTCACAGCCCAAGAAGTCTTAAGATGCTATGCATGTCATAAAATGCAACTAAGAATGGTTAGCATGTGACTGGCTTCTTTATTCCAAATAAAACAAAACTCTTTCACTGCCCAAGAAGTCTTAAGATGCTATGCATGTCATAAAATGCAACTAAGAATGGTTAGCATGTGACTGGCTTCTTTATTCCAAAACAAAACAAAACTCTTTCACTGCCCAAGAAGTCTTAAGATGCTATGCATGTCATAAAATGCAACTAAGAATGGTTAGCATGTGACTGGCTTCTTTATTCCAAATAAAACAAAACTCTTTCACTGCCCAAGAAGTTTGAATTTATTCACTTCCAGTCGTCCCATGTCCTTGCAATTGCTGACATACAACCATGTCTGCAGTGACCTTTTCTCGATAGCGTGGCTAACTTCCATTGGTTCTGCATCATGTACCTGCGCAGTGTTTAATATTTCATGATTTGAATATAGTAACTAAAATTAGCATTTAGGGATGAGTTCTCAGTGACTAAATGAGTTTGCTCAGGAAGATAATGGTGTTGTGGGCCTGAAGACGGTTGTTTTTGCATGCATATCTGGCTTTTTTGTATGCACATCTGGCTTTTTGTGGACACATTTGGCTTTTTTTGGTATGATTGTTCTTTTTTTCACCTCTCAGACAGATGCACTGTAACTTTAAAGGAAACACCCTTAATTATCAACTTTTATGGGGGGGGGGGGTGGAGGTTGTCTCTTCTGTTTCCTCTGATAATGGCGTCCCAGAACCCACATGGGAGCTAACTGATGTGAAGAAGCATGGTCACCCATGCCGGACGGTAAGGCCTGTTCTCATAAGTGGGACCAAAGGATTTCATGATGATTGTTTCCACTGCATGTAATTAACATGCATATACATTATATAGCTGCTATTCATTTCAAACCCATTCCAATGGCTTTGTTACAAAAAGCACGAAAGAAACATCCACATGTGTGTCAGAATGGGTGTGTTCTTAGACAGAGCATTTATCTTGAATAAATAATGCACCATGGGTTGGTCAGAAAAGTTGCCATAGGCATTCAGGCAGGCATCCTGTTATTTAGATAGGCTGTGGATGCCATTCACACAAAAAACCCAGCTTGTGGTTGTTTACAGAATCATGAGTTCCTCCTTTTGCTAGTTGGTCAACATACATTGTGCTTACTATGAACACATGTTCCAGTATTGCAGTTTCTTACATGCAACAATTTTAACTGTCCCAGTTGACACATCAGATTCTTTTGCGCTAGCGAACATATGCTTCCCTAATAGTTCACCTATATTTCTACACCAGTTTTTGTGATATTTTGTTTCTGTTGTAACATCATGTGCTTAATCCGGTTGCGGAAGAATTTTCATGAACTCATGTCCATTCTGAAACATTTGTGCATGGGCCGCGTTACCGCTGTCGATAGCTTTCAAATCCAGCTGCGACTCGCTGCAGCCCATGGCCGGTGTTTGAAACCTGGCAGTTCCCAGGGTTTACCCAGCCTTTAGGTAATAGGTACCACACTGGGGTAAATGTAGGAATGTCACTGTAATAACAGAGTTGCATGCGGACGACAACACAGCGGACAGTTTCTTATCAGCTGTCCGTACTGGTGACAGAGCACTTATGGTTTTTAATCGTGTGCAGTACACTGGTTCACATCTCCCCACTTTACTTTTTATCTTTTTACATTTGTGTCCAGTCTGTCAGTATTGTCATTGTCACACATTTGTTATTGTGCGCTGGCTGTATTCTTTGATAAATGTCCACTGGTCAACATTCATCATATGAAAGAACTGAATCACAGCTCTCTGAGCCATTCCTACTATTTAATCAAACCTATGCATCATGTGACAGCACATGCTCTTTTATTAATTAGCCGGTACTTATCAAATGACTATGACATGATCATACTCGATGCCTGCAATTACGCATGTTGTGGCACTAACAGGTTTCAAATGAACATTTGTAATAACATAGTCTCTAGTAGTGGCTGGATTTTTCCTGACCTTTTCGACTCTGAGGTCGACCCAGCCTTGTAAAAATGTGTGCCAGATAATTTCCAGAATGATCTGAAAGGGAAAGGGAAGCCCAACTCATACGTCATGGCCTGGAACTTGTGGAGCCCTAATGCTTCACATCCCACTAGAAGTATTGGTTCTCATCATCATCATCATCCTGTTATACCTTTATAGTTCACATAGGGCTTGCAGTCTTAGTTTTCCTTTACATCCTGTACAATCCTGTTGATATGGTGGATTTTATCATGTATGGAATCCAGTCTAGGACTTTTGGTCTCTGTCAGCACTCTTCTTCTTCGCCTTTGGGGTTTCTCTTTGAAGTCCTCATTTCCTCATTCCATTTGATTCTCATTTCATTGCCTGTTAAATGGTTCTCTGTCTGCTTCTTGTTATTGGTCCAAGATATTGCTCTATTCTTTGTTTTAATTGTTGATATAAGCACTAGTCTAGACATGTCTCTTGTTTCTTCACCTTTCTTGAATTTATCTCTCCTTGCATGGGTGCCGGGGCCCCATTTTGGAGTAGAATAAACCCACTATTGCTATTTTTAGAAAATATGTGTATATCCTAAACAATATGCAGAGCAAAAAAAAAAAAATACCACCAGCTAAGCTTGTCCTTGACAGGCCGGCCAATTCAGCATTACTGGATTCAGATGCTTTTACGGGGATTTGCAACAGACAGCAATGCCAGGTTAGCAGCATCTGAGGATCGAAGGATTAAAATTACTTCTTCATATCGGCAAATCCATCATCATCATGTTGGGCTACTTATGTATCATTTAGGGCGCAGTCTAATTCTTCATTCTGTTAGGTCCTAAGCAAACTTTTCAATATCATGGATGGAATCCATTCCAGCACCTTTGGCTTCTCTCTTCAACATTCCACTTTGGGTTTCTTTTGGACATTGTCATTTCCACAAATTATGAATTTCTCATTTCAGTGACTGGGTCATTGGCAACCGGGTCACACTTAAACTGGCCGGTGGACGGCTTCGTCAACGGTCGTCACAGTATTCAGATCTGTTTCTTTTGATTGTATCAACATTGCAAGAGTCTTTCAGTTCTACTTGGTGGCTAGCAGTGTTAAACCATTTTATATTTCACACATTAACCTAGTCACATTTATAACCTAAAGCTCTTTGGGGATGCTGGTTGAATGTGACAATTTTTTATTTTGGGATCAAAAACGGAACGGAGGGGGGTGACTGCTGATTATCATTTCTTTTCTCCCCAAGATGTGCCTTAATTTTGCCATCATCTTTGCCTTATAACTTTTAATACAGACTGTTGTCAGTTTTACTATCCAGTTTATCAATATTTCATCTTCACTCTGCACAGACGTGAAAGCAACGCATGTTGGGCTGCAGGAGACAGGGATGAAACTTCTGAGGGACTTCAGTACAAAGATGCTGGAGTGGACATTGAAGCTGGTGATTACCTGGTTGAGGTCATCAAGCCTCTTGCTAAAATGACCAGGAGGTCAGGCTGTGATGCTGACCTCGGAGGATTTGGTGGTGTGTTTGATCTGGCAGCCGCTGGGCTGCCCAGCTGTGTTCTTACCTGCAGAACCTTGGGCGTGGGCAGGAAAATTAAGGTGAGCAGCTGAATTGTTAGTTTCTTCTTCTTATAGGTCATGCCCTGTGGTGTTGGTAGTCATGTCTGTCCACAACCTTCTTTCTTGTGTACTTTCCATCACTTCTGACACAAATGAACTTCCATGCCATGATGTCAAACTGTTCAGCTCATCTCTTTCAGTCTCCCTCTAACTCGTTTCCCCTACATATTTCCCACTGTCATGACGCACTTCAGATTTTCTCTTTCTCATGACATGGGCAAAGAATTCAGATTGTCTCCTTCTGATTTAGTTGTCTTAACTGCAGACACTAAGGTTTGGGGAGAACTCTTACCTGCAGACACTAAGGTTTGGGGAGAACTTTTACCTGCAGACACTAAGGTTTGGGGAGAACTCTTACCTGCAGACACTAAGGTGTGAGGGAAACTCTTACCTGCAGACACTAAGGTGTGGGGAGAACTCTTACCTGCAGACACTAAGGTGTGGGGAGAACTCTTACCTGCAGACACTAAGGTGTGGGGATAACTCTTACCTGCAGATCCTAAGGTCTGGTGAGGACAGATGAGTATAAGTTGTCTCTGTGTTACTCGTCTCGTCTGCTGTAGAACTTGGTCATGCAGAATTCATGTGACCTGTAGAACTTTTGTCGCGTCAAGAAGGATTTGGGTGAGTATCCCGTGTAGTTGTCTCACCAATAGAACTTGGGGTTTCTCGAGGTGGATTTTCAGGTCGACAGGCAGGCATCTGCATGATGAAATAAAGGATAGAAAAATCATGTAGTGAAACAATGCGAAGAAAATTAAAAGCGGAACAGTGTAAAGTAAATGACATGGTGAAATATTTTAAAGTAAATCAAATGATTAAATAGTGTAAAGTGAATCACATAATGGGATAGTGTAAGGTAAATCACCTGATGAAATAATGTAAAGTAAATCATGCAGTGGAATATAGTGTAAAGTAATCATTGCTTTAGAAATTAAACAGCTTGAAAAACCCATGGCACAGCACCTGCAAGTGAGATAACGTAAATATTTAGAGATCCATGACATCTTGTGGATGTAAGTTTTAGGGCAGAAAACCCAGTCATTGCAGAACAAAATTGGAGCTTTTGAACTGATATTGCTGCAGAAAATATCGGGGACCTGGAAGAAGGAAAACACATCCTACATGATCTGAGTATCAAGGAGAACTGGCTCATAAGCAGCATCCTGTTCCGAAAGTATTCTGGCCATGTTGAACATCATGGTGGCCTGGAGAGAACAGTGATGCAGACCTCTGCAAAGGTGTTTACAAAACATTAAAAGTGCATTGATTATGAAAACACAGTAAAACAGTAAAAGGTAAATCACGTGATTCTTTTTTTCTTCTTCTATTGTCTCACTAATAGCACTGTAGCTCTGGCCCAGTATTGTCTCTCACTTTTTTGGGTGGCTTGGACGATGCATTTGGAATCACATGATTTAACACTGCAAAGTGAATCACAAAATGAAACATTGCAGAATAAATTACAAAGTGAATAAGCTGAAAAGTAAATCACATGATGACAAACAAGTAAATTACATTTTGGGGTGGGGGAGCACATGGTTAAAAAAGAAAAAAGTAAATCACATGGTGAAATTGTGCAAAGTAAATCACACAAAATGTTGCAAAGTAAATTTACATAATAAAATAGTGTGAAAATCAGTCACACTGTGAAACAGTGGAAAGTAAACCACATGATGAATTTGAACACTGTTTTTTTGTTTTAAAAATTAGCTGTTCTTTGTTTGGTTCCCAAGTTTGCAGAGAAACGTGGCCATCACTACAATATCGGTTACGATCTTGTTGCTGAGTGTGTTAATGATCTCTTGGTGCACGGTGCAGAACCACTTTTCTTCCTGGACTATTATGCTACAGGGAAGCTTCATGTGCCGGCAGCTGAAGAGGTTGTCAGGGGAATTGCAGAGGGTTGTCTCCAAGCTGGTTGTGCCTTAGTTGGTGAGTTGTTGAGAGACAAATTGATGAAAATATGAATATCTGTTGTCTTCTAAAATAATCTGCCGGGAATTAAACCTTGAACATTGTTTTAGTCACTAGCCACTTTGCCACTATAGTACAAATAAGTAAAGGACTCTCTTCCATGCCTTGTCAGATGTGACTGAGCTACCACGGTACCACCTGTTTTCTGTTCACACTGAATGTTGGGTGGTGTTTACCAGATCTGACATCCCACATTGTGCCAGCAGCTCTGAGTGGAGGAGCACATTGGGGGGGGGGGGGGGGGGGGAGTACTAGCCTTATCCTAGGAGGAGGAAATACAAACTGAAAACTTCATATTAGAGCGTGGCAGACCAGACCCTTAGTCTTGGCTGACAGCTGGTCTTGGAGGGAAGCTCTGACAGGTTGATAGACAGCAACAGCACTGCTTGTCTGATCCAGTAGCCTCTTTAGCATGCTTTGTTCCAAATGTTTTGTGTTTCTTTCATTTAAACAAGGCAGGCACAGAGAGGGGTCACGATGCATGGGTAACACATGATCTCTGCAAGACTACCCAGGCTTTGTGCTAGATAGATGTCCTGAAATCCAGTGCTCTATTTCTGGAAGACTTTTCCTAATGGGGGCAGGTCTTTCTAGTCACAATCACCATAGGCTGTGGTTCTCCATGGCACGGTATAATACTTCATCTGGAATGACGGAAAGGTGCCAGCAGCCATGTCTTGAGACTTCTAGGTATGCTTTTGGCACCTTTCTGTCTTTCCATACGATAGTTTTATATTGTGCTGAAGGGAGACATGAGAATAACAACCAATGGTGATGGCCAGTGTGACTAGCTAGTTAAAGCTAGGGATGAAGTTCCTCATCTCCTTTGTCAAAACCTGGGAAATATTGTAGAGGCCATGTTTTGCCCTGGATTCATGATCCCTCTCTCTCGACTTACCTTGTTTACTCCAGAGGAATGCCATTATGTTTTAAACAAAGCATGCTACAGAAGCTACTGGGTGAGGAAAGCAGTGCTGTTTCTCCACCAATGGAGCTTCCCTCTTAGACCAACTGCCAACCAAGGCTAAGGGCCTGGTCAGCCCTGCCAAAACATTTGTTTAAAATGTTGCATTTCCTCTTCTTGTGATAAGGCTAATATTCTACCAGGTGCATTCCTCTATCCAAAGCTGTTGGCACAAGTGTACTTTCTGTCTGATGCACCATCTGTCATTTCTGATAGAGTTGTTCTTCCCTGCTTTTTTTCTTCCACCTTTACCTTTGTCACGATGTGCTCTATCCCTCCCCCACCCCACCTACCCCTCTTCTCACAGCATGCCTTAAGTAGGAAGATTGGCTCCTCCAGATGATGGTAATCAGCTTTTTCATGAGTTGTTTTCTTTTAGGACATCTTGCCTTTTGTCTGTCCATAGTGTTTTCATCATTCATCTGTAAAACCACATCTCTGCAGCTTCCATAAAGTGTTTCACCAGTTTTTCAGAACTGTCTCTGGATAGCTGCTCAAAACTTGTTCTCAGTTGATTAATCAGATGAGTCGCCCCATAACTGCTCCTTTCTTGCACCATTGGAAATGACACAAAATGTCCTTGACTATCCCGTGCGAAAACTAGTGAAACTAGTCCTAGCAAAATCTTGAACCTTCCACCCACTAAATAAAAAAAATATATGTAAAAGTCAGCGGTCAGATGTGCCAGCACTACAGTCCCACACCAGAATTGCATCTTGCTGTTGGTGCAAATGGTTACAAAATCTGCCATTGTACTCGCAAAAGCTTACATCATTCTGAATGTAACGGGCACCCACCATTTTCGCGCAGTCAACAACATGCCGCCGGCACAATGAAAATAACATTCCACATGAAATCCACATGGCACAGTGTCACATAAAGCACTTACCTTGGTAGCTGGATGATGAAACCTTTAGACTATCAGTCCAGAAGTGGGGAATTTGTAGCAGCAGAACTTAACTGGAAACAAACATTTTATTGTTAAGCGCCATTTTTTCAGTGGCCAAGTTTTCTCTCTATTGTATAATATAATTGTCAGATATAATGAGTAGAAAGTGTTTAATAATTTGGTAGTTAATTTTGTTTCCCACTTGTTGATTTGTGTGTATTATGCCTGTGCATGCATTACCAGGAGGTGAAACTGCTGAAATGCCAGGGATGTACCGAGGCAACGACTACGATGTTGCTGGCATTGCAGTTGGGGCCATTCCAAATTCTCGTTTGCTGTTGCAACAGCAGGTGGCTGTTGGTGATGCTGTCATCGCACTGACCTCCAGTGGACTCCAGCATGATGATTTTGTTGTCCTGGAGGAGGTGCTGCTGGCATACTCTCTACATCTGCGCAAGCTGAAAGGGGTTAACGGAGGTGCCACACTTGGTAAGGGTAGATGTATGAGTGTGATTGTTTGCTGCCTTGATTTTGTACTCCAGCTCTGGACTTCTATCTGTTTTATTAATCAGCAGATCCTTTACAGATCGTCGCTCTTGTCACAGCAAGCCTGAAAGTATCTCTTTCTATGGCCAGTTTTCCAGCCCTATGTGCTTTTATAGGTAGCACATCTTCAGTGTCTTGTATCCACCTTCGCAGGGACCTGTTCCTGCCTTTTTTCCCCGGAAGCTGTACCCTCCGTAACTGTTCTCTCCAATTCAACATGACCTTTAATGTGGCCAAATACCTTATCTAAGAGATGCTTGTTAGAGAGCAGGGTCTACTCTTTCTTTCTCTCTGCTACTTCTTTAGCTGGGGTAAAGACGCAGTAAAAAGGGACTTGGAAGTTTTTTGGCCAGGGTATGTTCTAGCTCATTGCTTTCCCTTCTCAGGCAGTTTCCATGAACAAAAATTTTTTTTTCCGGTTCTAATGTTGTTAAGGTTGAGTTGAACTAGGTGCAGTACTCAGGAACCCTTTCCCATGCCCTTAGACATATTAGGTATATAGTGTTAGCCCAGTTGGCATTTAGTAGTTGATGTGGTCAGCATCACTCTTGACTGCCCTTACTGTCTAGGACTTTACCTGGTACCCATTTTGGACTGGATTGAAAAGAAATTGTTTGCCGCTGAACCACTGGTTAGAAGAATAATAGCACCTCTGCTAAGAATCGAACCTTAACCATGCCTGGGTAGCTAGATGTGCTGACTATTGTGCTGTTTTGAATCTTATTTTAATCAGTTTAATAAGTCTTTCTCGTGTGCTCATCATGTTTATTCAGTCTGTGTCAACAGTATATAGTCATTTAACTGCAATGGATCACTGTGTTATTTCTAGAGCCTAATTCTGAAGATAGGATGGGATTAGACCCACACTGTGAAAGGTGACTTATATTGGATGTTTCCTTAAAAGTTATAGTGCATTAGCCTGAGAGGTGAGGAACCAACAGTCAACATACAAACACGCCAGATCTCTGAAACAGGTGTGCACTCAACACTCAAGTTCTGGAACAAGACCAAATCCAGAAGTGGATGAACAACCAGGACTTTTTGCTGGAGTCAACAGCTAGTGAACCTGAAGAAGAACTGCAGTGAGATTTTGTTGATACATTTCAATTTGAGTATATATCACCAACATTATATCTCCTGTCTAGGTGGTTGCTGTTTGTTTGCAGATTAGGTGCTTAGTAGTTTTTTTTTTTTTTATCTTTCAGATGAGGAGATTCTCATCCCATCCAGCATTTATGTCAAGTCTGTCCTGCCTCTCATCTATGCTGGAAAGGTGAAGGGTTTTTCCTGTGTCACAGAGGGACTTTCCAAATGTCTGCCCAGAATTCTACCAGCTGGCCTGGGAGCACGTCTTGATGCTCACAGTTGGCACATTGGACCAGTTTTCGGCTGGTTGAGCAAAATGGTAAATTATTTTTTTTTGGCTTGCAAATTTATTATCTATGGTTGGTATTTCCTTTTCTTCTTTTTCTTTTTTCTTCTGTTCCTCCTATTCTTCTTGCTGTTGCTCTGCTTCTTCTGTATCCACCTTGGCTGTTGGCAAGTTGTGTTATGGTTTACTGAGAGATTGTGATATCTGCACCTTTCAGCAAATCCCTTTTAGCTACCTTTTACAGTATGCTTTGTGGGGACACAGTGGGGCTCTTCCCTTACTCCCCCCAAAAGGATCCCTGAATCTCACATGAAGAAGGTGATGATTTATCATACAGCACTGGGCACATCATCATATTTTCTGCTTTTAATCTCCTAGTGGAACATAGATCTTCAACCATTCAATCGTCTGACATTGACCAGATTTTGCAGCTGAGGTTTGATTTGCAGTGTGTACGAATAAATGGACTGATGTGATATGGTTGAGGGTCTATACGTGTTACTTGTTGTCTGTATCAGCATCCTAGCACATCGGTCTGACCCATTGATGTTCCTTCCACTGATGCAGCAGACATCTCAGTCTTTCCATGCTCTCTCTTCCCAGCAAGAGTTGACTGGTATATTTTCTTTCTTTGCCCCGCAGCCGGTTTTTACATGCTTGTCCTCATATAATACCCATGCCCAGCAAGTGGCTCATTGTCTCTGTCTCATTTGTCACAAATGTTTTTGGAGTGCAGCACATATTGTGGGTCCCCAGTAGGAGAGTCAAGTGCAAGGGCAAGAAAATACAGGAGAGTGTGAAAAATGCTGTGATGGTCTCATCTTGTTCACGGGAAGCTTCTAACTTGTCTTCCTAGTGGTAGAACACAGGCAGTGTGTCTGAGTGTGGCAGGTGCAGTTCAAGACCTGATACCTACTAGAATTAGTGATTGTTCATCTTTGCTCCTGATATCTTTACTTTAAACCTAATAGGTATCCTTAAGGCAGAGTTCACAGATGTGTGTAATGTAGAAATCATAGCTACCATTAATCTAGAATTCTCATATCCCTTATTTATAGTTCAGTGATACCCTTGTTGTAGACTTCACAGATGCTGGTAATGTAAAAGTCACAGTTACCCGGAATCTTAAATTCACAGTACCCCTAATTTAGAATTCACAGATATTTCTAATTTAGAATTAAGAGATACTCATGCATAAAATCACTCTCATTTGAGGATTGTTACTTTGCAAAAATAATTAGGTATAAGTTTGCTTTGCCACAGTGGTTGTTAATCTTGGAGACATTGATGAGTTTGCTATGTAAATATAGACAATTTTATCTTCTTCTTTTTAGCATTCACTGGCTTTAAACTCTGGCAGAAATTTCTGGTTTGTCCAGTTTTGTGCTTTGGTTTTATTCCAGAGCTTCAGTTTTGCATGCACATCCACTTTACAGATCTGGCTTATTTGTATGCAGACTGACTCTTGGTTCCTTTGCTTCTCAAGCAGATGCACTCTGACTTCAAAGGAAACCCGTAATTGGTCTATTATTACAACATGCTGAAAAAGTGGGGGGGAGGGGGGGGGGGTGTATGTGGGGGGGCGGGGTCAGAACTCCTGTTTTTCTGTCTCCCGTAATGGGGTCCTGGAATCCACAGGGGGAGATAATTGTTATGATGGCACTATTGTTAATTGTCAACAGATGTGAGAGGAACATGTAGAAGTATTCAGTAAGTTTTTGTGTGCATTATAACAAACATACTCAACTGCTCGTTATCTCTGGTTTCTAGGCAAGGCTTTCAGCTGAAGATCTGACCAGTTGTTGCAGCTGTGGTGTTGCAGCAGTCATGATTGTCCCAGCCTCTGATACAGACTCTATAATAAGAACATTGTCTGAGCAGTTGGTCAGTCCTGTGAGGGTAATAGGGCATGTTGTTGAGTGCACTGGTAAGGGTTTCATGGTCATATTTTTCTTGTTGTTGTTTGTTTACGGTTGGATTGGTTTAAAAATTAGCATCTTAGCACTTGCAACATTCCCATAAGTGCTCTATTTTCATCTTCAGCAGTCAGTGCACAGTTCCAGTTCCAATGGTACAATTATCAGTCTGATTGTATGTCCACCTTGCCAGGGCCAGATTATATAGTAGTTTTATACCAGCCATGCCATTAAAAAATTGCTCAGAAAGCTATTTTTGGCCCGCAGGCCATAGTTTACCCACCTCTGACCTAGATCCTTGAACTTGAATATGTTGACTGCAATTGTACATTTCAGCTTAAATTAATTCATCCATTCTCAGCCCCATAACAATGCATGTTATAGGGTCACCAGTTGCTGTTCCCTACCTAATCAGTTCCCTCCGCATCTCTTGGTCACATGAGGTTTGTGTCACTGAGTCTTGTCTGCTCAGTCAAATTTTATATCTATGCATTTCATGGTCTCTCTCTTCTCCTCTACAGAGCCCTGTAGTATGGTTTTTGAGAGGCCTGTCAATCTAATAGATGTCTGTACCACTGCTTTGTCCATCTTGTCACTTTTGTTAAAAGAGATTCAGAGCTGCCAATTTTTCTGAGTGATGATACAGCGAGGAGGTGCGGCTGGCCAACCCGTTAGATCTCTGGGCTCAGAAGTAGAAGACCCTGGTATGATTCCTCAAAATGTTTGGGGAGTTTTTTTTTTCTGTTGGGGGCAAGAATACAGTCTTGACCTTCACAGTACTAACCGTGCGACCCACCCTAAATCCTCAGGCTGAGAGACTCCCCTCCAGAGATGCATTTTTGCTACAGGTGACACTACAGCTGTTGGGACATGAACTGGTACATAATATAAAGGGCTTATATTTATTACTTATGGGAGGTACATAATAAAAGGGATTTATTACATACAATATTTTCATTTTTAGTCCTGTACGAAATGTAAACTCATAGCTTACTGTCCAAGTTTATTAACCCCACGATGCTGATAAATATGTTGAGAGGGGAATCTGAGCGCCTATGGATATGTCCGGAGTGCTGTGAAGATAATCTAACTCATAACTAACTGTCCCAGGCTTTACAAACACTACTGTTAAAGTTTAACTCTTTAAGGCCCAAGCAACGGTGCGAGTGTTGATTGAGAAGTTCCATTTTGCCCAAACAACGTCATCATCGATCGTGTATCCCATACATTTTGCTTCTCACATGGCTCCGTACTTGTTTCTAATGTTCAGAAGTAAGATTAAACAATTCAGGGAAAGTCACTCTGCAGAAATTCTTTCAGATGCATTACCTATCGGAAATTACACGTGCATAATTTGAACGGATTCACAGCATTTTTTTTTCAACAGTGCATTTTCTAAGTTAGTTTTCGAGTGCCATAAATACCAATGTTCCCACCACAAGTACAGGTCGCATAATGCGTCTTTCTGCGGCTGAAGCTCTAAAATTGTTTGTCAGTTGTTTTTAATTCTGATAATAATAATAATGAAAATTTAGATTTTTCAAATAGTGATTCAGACGGTGATTTTTTTTTACAAGCGAAGCTGAGGGATCAGCTGTTCTGAATCTAGTGATTCTGATGTGTTTATCACACAGACAATGTCC